TCTGTCCAGCTACTCTGGACTTCATTAATGCTTAAATAAATGAGTGCAAAAGGAGCAGGATAGCTGTCCCGTCAACGTGAACAAACTGCCTTGTCCACCTGTCCTCAAGTTCTGCTGTTCATCAACTAAAGTATGGCTATTGTCATCGTCGTCTCTACAATAAGAGACAAGGGCATAGCTAAGGAGAGGCTACAAAGAGAACACTTGACATACCCTCATGCAAACTAACCTCCCCCATTAATTACCCCTTAAAAAACAATTATCTTCTTGATTTGTTTGCTCTCACATCTCCTGTTGTGCCGCCTGCATCTCTTGCTCCTTTTGTTTACTTATTTATCTGTTTTCGGGGCTCCCCCAACAACCCCACCCACTTCCCCCCCTGCACCATATGGTTGCAGATCAAATAATGTCAAACATTTTGCCCTTGCAAGTTTTTGCAATTTGCAGTTTCTAAATGTGAGACCTGTTGAAAGCAGGAGTGATAATGGACATGCACTACCCCCCGGCGTTTTTCGTCCCACCATATCTCCCTTCAATTAATGCTACAGCGGGAGTTTCATGTAATAACACTTGCACTTCTGAGCTGTCCACATGAGAGAGGGAAAGGAGAGGGAGATGGAGGTGGAACCAGGGAGGGGAAGGGTTGCAAGAGGAGTCCGAGTGTATGAGGGAACAGAAACAATTAAAACTGGGGCGGGATGAAGCAACTGGCCTGTTTTATTTGGCCATGTGAAGGATGCATGTCAGATAAAGAGAGCAGACAGGGAGGGAGTGGGATGGAGGGCATGCTAAGCTTGTCCATCATTGTTGCCGAGAGCAATCAAATTGGTGCCAGCAGGATAGAGAACGCGGCGACAGCTGTAATTACGCATCACCATAGTGATCACTTTTGGCCTGCCGAGGATGGCGGATGAAGGCTCCTCGTCTTCAGCCTTTAATCAGATTGGGCTGCCGGTCGTCAGGTAGACATGGCTGGACGCGACACTCTGTGTTGATCCTTTGTTGGTTCCCCACATGGTTTTAATCAGGCATTTTCGCCCAAAACAGAAGACCATATGATAATCTTAAAACAAAACAAAATATTTATCTCATTGATAAATTCAGGGATATGATTTACCAAAATCCTTAAGCATAAAGCTGGAAGGGATTTTCTTTTGTTTGCTGTGGTTGGACGTTGTCTGGTGTGTTCCAATTCATAGAATTTCCTTTTCTAAGTTCTATTTTGCTTATCTTTGGGTTCTTAGTGTCATAGCAAAAAAAGTCCTTCTTTCAATTCTGTCACTCTTTTTTAGGCTCTAGTTCAACTCTATAGATGTGCTTATGCATTCTAAAATAAGGAATCTAGTTTCAGAGCATTTTACAGCCAAATAACAGGATACCCACTCAATCAATCATCAGTTATTACCAGGGTTTCATCCAATAAGTTACCAAATATCCTATGCAATGCTTTGCGAAATAATTCATATTACTTTTTTTTTTTTCATTTTTTGTCACGTTGCAACAAAGAACTTTATGTGTGTTCCCAGGATTTATTTTTCTTCTGATTACCAGAAAGAAAACAGTGGCAATAATGAAATAAGAGGAAGAATGATACATACAGAAACTGACTTGCATGTGTATTCAGGCCCTTTGAGCTTACACTTTTTAGAACCACCTTTTTCTACAATCACAATTCATTGCATCACTACACTTGATGCTCACTAGAATCATTGCAATGAAAAGAAGCAATGCTCATAATCTCGTACATTTTTATAATGACAATAAAGGGTATCTGATGTAATTTCAATTGGTCACTTCTGCCAAATTTTAAAGAGCTATTGTCTATTAATTTCTCATTCTTATTGCCTGAAATCAATGACTGCATTTAGATTAATATAAAGGAAAACGCTTTTCAGGAGAAATTGAGGCTTAATGAGAAGTATGTGTAGTGCCTGCTAAAAGTTTTTGGCCTTTCAAAAGGTATTTTTACCTGACAAAGAAGCCTCAATGAAAACACATAATCTAGTACACTAAATAATTCATTATATTAATTTGGCAAACATAAACCGAGGTCACCAAGGTCTAAAAACAGTGTTACTTTTTACGTCACAGAGCTTTTCTGTGCATCTTTATAACATGACATTGCACAGTATGGATATATGGCTGTCATGTCATATACTGTTACAAATTCATCAAGAGATGATGTAGGAATCAATGTGTGATGCAAAGCCAGAGAGGAAGAATCAAAACGTGATAGTTCATATAACCTACAGATTTTAGGGGGTTGACTAAAAAATGAGCACCATTTTTTAAAAACGATTAATTAGTCCGAATTGGAATTAAATCAACCTCTATCTTCATAAAATTAGTGTTTGAAAGAAAATTAATATCCTAGGATCCATTTTGTGTCGTGTTTGTCCATCCTTTAATTTCCAGCTAATTTTCAACTAACTGGCAAAATGATATTCAATTACTTAATTAAGTATGATCCAGCTGCGTGCCATCTCTCCACACCAGGGGCTGTCTCCCTGTGGGATGCTGGTTTAAGCCTCTCTGCACTAATTATCACACTGACATTATCAGACTGTACCTGGCATTCACTCACACCTTAAGCGGCAAGTTTTCATTGACTGCTACACCCGTTAAAATAATGACGATTTTTTATTTTGGAAACATTATGGTTCATCTTTCCTTTACCATATATTTAGGTACTGTGGTCAGTAGGACAAGTACTTAGCAGTAACTTTGAATATTTCTGCATGTTATCCTGATCCTAGCAATGTACATTGCCTTACAAAACAGTTTATAACTCTTAAACAGTCTTAATAAAGAAATGGAACAACAAACTGTAATATTTATACTTTGGATTTTATGTAATAGAGCCACACATATTAGTTTGTAAAAGTATTGCTTATGAAAAAAAAAATATCTTTAAAATCCATGAAATTATCTTTGTTTAGATGACATATTCTGTAAATAGAGATGTAGAGATGAGAAATCTGGCTCCTATCTTTTAGCTTGAGTTGGCAAATATTACTATTTTTTTTGTCTATACATAATTTTGCATTTAGTGTTTTTATGAAAAGCCTCATACTTGCCTAATCTTATATTTTTTCTGTTATAAATGAGCAATTTGGACAGTTTTTGTAATAATATTTTCTAAATTTTCTTTAACATAAAAACAAATGCTGTCTGTCAATAGAGAGTCCCGCTGTGAACAGGACGCAGCCATTGTGTGAGAACTGAGAAATAAAAGGAAAAAAAAAATGAACGACATATACTCTGACATTAAGTTATTGTGTGATCTACTTTACTTTCTTCTCTCCCGCTGCACAAGAAACCAAAATGTTCCCAAATAAGAGTTGTCAGAGTGTAACTTTTCAAAGGTGGAATGCAGAGTGAACTTAGTTCAATTAAAATTCTTCATCTATGCTGTACCAGTTAGTTTTATGTGAGAAGATGTGTACCATTTTACCCCTAATGTGACTGAACACAGGTAAAATCACAGAGCAGTATCATACAATTAGATATAGAGTTAAGATTTGTCTAAAAAAACTACTATTCTGTCCTTCAAAAGGAACAGAATTTTTTACCCACTAACTCAAAAATTCTTTTTCTCTCTCAAAACTATTCTACTAGTAGGTTGCTTTGTTTCTTCAACAAGCTTGCTACGCACAGTAATGTCCCCACTGTGCTATTTTTTCAGCAGAGACAGGATCTCTGCATATTTCACACATGTGGCATCAGTGTTTGCTAAATGTATTATTTAGCCACCAACATGGTGACAAGATCAGAGAGAATCTAACAATAGTTTCTCTATCCTTTCACACACTATATTTCTAGAGAACAGGGGGGGTTCTAGCCATTTGGGTGCCCTAAGTGCAAACGCTTTGTGGTGCTCCCCATATAGCATCACCTGTCTGCATACTCCCCCCCACCACCACCACCAACCAGTGCCAGTCCATAAATGCCTTGGCATACCATCTCATTTTTAGTTGCAATTAAAACATTGCATTAGTTGCATAGATGCCCACATTTAACAAAGATGTAGTTACAGATTTTTTCAAATATTTTCAGTTAACCTAAATAGAATATTTTTAAAGAATTGGGATGGATAAATATACTTTTTTTTGCAATCCATATTTAATATGATTACATCACTACCAAATATGACAATTACTAAGAATATTCTACAGACAAACCTTTAAGGGTACTATAGCTAAAAAAATGCAAGAAGCCAACTACTATTATGCATATACTTTTACACAACATAACTGTTATTTAACTGTTATGGTGGTAAAATGAACAATGTAATAGATATATAAAGTATATATGTTTATATATATATATATATATATATATATATATATATATATATATATATATATATATATATATATATATATATATATATATATATATATATATATATATATATATATATATATATACTTTTTATATATATATATATATATATACATATATATATATTTGTCATTTTGTTTACACAAGTGTAAAGCAAAAAGAAATTTTGTTTGGAATAGCTCTCTGGCCAATTTCATCTTTTTAAATGTGCAGCCTTGAAAAATATAAAATATGTATATATATATATATATATATATATATATATATATATATATATATATATATATATATATATATATATATTTAAATATATATATATATATATAAATATATATTTAAATATATATAAACAGTCATAAAAATATATGACTGTAAATTTACCGTTCTAAAATTTTCTTTTTTATATATAATGATAAAATATAATAAATATAATAAAATACAATACAATAACCCATTTTACGAAACATTTAGCAGTCTAATGGCAGTGGGGAAGAAACTGTTGTGGAATCTGCTGGAATTGCATCGGATGCTTTGAAGTCTCTTCCCAGAGGGTAGCAGGGAGAACAGTTCATGGTGGGGGTGTGAGGGGTCATTTATGATGTTACGGGGTCGGGACACACAGTGCTGGGATGAAATGTCTTTTATGGAGGGAAGAGGAGCCCCAATGATCTTCTCTGCTGTTCTCACCTTTCCTCACTTTCTTCAAGTCTGGATTTAATCCCAGGTGTTTCAGTTTGCCCATCAGATGCTGTGGGATGATGGTGTTGAAAGCTGAACTGAAATCTAGAAACAGCATCCGCACATGGGTTTTCTTCTCCTCCAGGTGTGCCAGGCTCAGGTGGAGAGCAGCAGAGATGGCGTCCTCAGTGTCGATGGCGTTGGTTTTGCGAACTGGAACGGGTAAAATGTTGGTGGCAAACTGGAGACAATGTGTTTTTAACCAGCCTTTCGAAGCACTTCATCATGATTCGAGTCAGTGCAACAGCGCAGTAATCATTGAGTGAGTAGACCTGAGGCTTCTTTAGGACTGGAATAATGGTGGCAGACTTGAAGCATGCTGGCACTATGGATCGGTCCAGGGAGATGTTAAAAATGTCTGTGAGGACACCAGCCAGCTGAACTTGTTTTTTGTCTTTGTTCTTTGGCAGGAAGACTTCCTGTTACTGGATGAGCCTGGACCTTCTTCCCCTGGAAGGATTAACTGAGTCTCACTGAGCAAGGGGAAAAGCTCCACATGATCCATTCAAGTCCAGTCCTGGAAAACCAAGTGAAAGTCCACTCCTTTACTCCTCTCGATCCAACGTATGTCTGCCTGTCCGCTCTCCAATGAGTTCTCTCTTCTCTGGATTAAACCCCCAGAAACTGGATCCAAGGATAAACCAGGGGCCCCCCAAAAGTGAGTGGCTCTCCAGCAATATTCAAGCCTCAGTCTATTTTCCATCGGTGTTTGCTAATCTACAATAAACCTGTTAAAATTTTACCCTTGGTCTCTGAGTGGTTCTCTGCATGTGGGTCAGATCTTTAAAGCCCATTATGACAAAAACACCCTCTGTGTATGCAGATTGGAGCTCAGAGACAGTTTTACATCTATTAGTTTGATGCAAAATCCTAAAACATAAAAAAGATCAGACTTTACAAAGGAAATTGATCAATATGAATGGGCTGAATATGAGCTGAACATAAGATCTCAAAGACTCATGTCTTTGTTACTTCTGTATTTATCATTTTCCTCTTTGTTGTTTTGTCATACTTTCTCACCTTATTTTGTCTACAGCAGTTGAAAACTCCAATGGTTCGTCCTGTTTCTCTTCTCACTGTATAACTCTTAGACCCCAAGACCACCTGTGTGTTCTTTCGAGTTGCACAGCTGGTCAAAGCGCTGTGTAGGAGAGGTGGACAGAAGGCAACAGAGTGGACCTCTCCACCACACGTTAAAAGAGCAGACGAGCTCTAAATCGTACAGAAGCATGTAGTTAATCACACATAAAGAGGAAAATTAGGTTTAAAAATTTTAAAAGAAAGCTGTGCATTTTTGTGTTAACCATAACAGCCCTGCTTGCAAGACGTTTTTTTTTTTTTTTTTTACCTTGCCATTCTTCATTAACTCATCACTTTGTTTCTTCTTTCTCCTCCTTCCCGCACCAACTATTGGTACATTTTCCAAATACAGCCTTGCAGGATAACGTAACAGACCACTGGCAGGGGGGGGAAGGGGCACCACTTGAGAGCTCAGTCTTTTTTCTAAGGAATGTTTTCTTTTTTATATTGCTTAGATCTAATGAAAGGCTTTATACATTTTAATCTTAAATACTATATTTGTCATGGTCTTGGCGCTGTTGACTAGCTTGGTTGTTCATTCCATTCACCTGCCTAGCTCTGCCCAGTTTCTCCGTTCCTTACCGCTCTTCTGTTTCACCTGCTTGAGTATCCAATTAACATGCATTTTTCCAGTCATCAGTCCCAGAACACTTTCTGATCTGTTTGACTGGCCTGTCTTCGGAAACCTGCTGGAATCTGCCTGTGGGAGGAATCTGGATATACTTTGTGATTTCAACCTGGATTACCATTCAGTACCACTTCGGATCTCTGATCTTTTGGCTCGGAGTCCTGTGAACCTTATCGACACCGGCTTAGTGACTGCCTTCTAGATAGTCCTGTCTTCCTTTGTCTGCCTGGTTCTGAGCTCCTGCCTGTTCTGAAGTCTTCGGGAGTTCAACGTCTGGGAATCTCTGGCTGGAATCTAGCTCCTTATCTGGGCAAGGACTGAACTTTAAGAGCAGGTTAGTGACTCAATCATTCATAACATGGTCACTAACATGTGTTTTCTTCCTGCAGAGGTTCCTGCCTCAGACACGCTAGCTGTTCACTGCAGATCCGTAGTTTTTAAATAAATGCCTTTTGAGATATCATACTGTCTGTATGTCTGAATACTGCATGGGTTGTCTGTTCCGAGCCTTGGCAATCTCTGGCGTTCTCTCTATGGTTGAGGCAGACATTTTATGTGGTTTTGTAGGTCTGCAATAGTCTTTCACATTTTCAGATATGATTTCACCAGGTCTCAGACAGTAGTTTAAATGTGGTATTTAATTGTATATCACAACATGCTATGTCCATAAAAAACAGCAAAGTCATATTTTGATGTTAGGAAAAGGCAATATATGCTAAGAATTTACCATAGTAGTGTTAACCTGGTCCCTTTCAAACCTGAAATGTATTTTTGTGCCTGATGCTATCAGCAGTCATACATATTATCTCACTCCATTGCCACCGTTTTACAATTATTACTCATGCATCATACTTATGACTTTCAGAGGCTTTTGCTCATGACTCCATGAGCTCCAATGTTCATATTATATTCCCAGCAAACTTATGCCATTGTGCTTTTATACTCTTCATCATTCTGAATTTTGCTGAAAAACTGAGAAAAAAATTAAGTGTAAAACAAAGAAATGAAAAATAATAAGCCAACCCATAATTTTCATTTTAACAAAATGATTTAACTGGAAAGGCTTTGTATGATACCAGGGTGAGCTAATACCGTAGAAATGTGTAAAGTCATTGAACATGAATAGTGTAAGCAGAAATCATGCTGCATGAATACTTTTTCAGGGCACAGCTAAAATGTTCTGCCCTATTAATGTGCCTTAGATGTTTTTGAAGCTCAAAATCATCATGAATGTGAAAGCTTGTATTGAATGTAAATGACATTTTACCAAAACTGTATATTTAAATTCAATAATAAGAAATATTTAACATTCAATGGTTCATTAAATGTTAAAAAGCAATGCTAATTTTACTCAAACTATTACTTAAATAAATATTTTTTTAATTTGTGTGTGTCTCTGTGTGTGTCTCTATGTGTTCTTCAAAATAGCTCTTTCATTATTCTCATGTGAGTTGGCCAGAGCGAGCCTCTTGCTGTGAGAAGGGAGGAATGTGGCTTAAGAAGGTACAAAAATATCATAATTTAATAAAAAAGGAGGTCAAATGCATCCTGGGTGATTTTAGGAACCCAGATGAAGTTTGACTTATTTGACTACTTTTATTTAGGGGCATTCTGATCCAATCTTGGTGAATAATTTTAGAAAATTTGTATCTGTTTTTTTAATTAGATCAGCTTTTAATTCAACCATTATATTTATAATTTCCTTTGCTTGAGTTTTCTTAAATAATATGTTTGATGGTGAACCAGATGTACATAGTTATGCTCAGTATAGCCTTATATAAGGTTTTAACATCTGAGTAGACTGAAGAGACATAGCACATATCTTTTAAAGACATACAATAAAATTTTGTTTTATTGTTTTTTGTTATATACTATTAATTACTGTGATTTTTTGTGATGCGTACCCTTTCAAGATAAAATGAATTCCTCTGACAGTTTTCTTATTAACTGTTATTTTTGTTTTATTCATAATAAACCTCCAACTAACAAAAAGTATAATTTACAAAAAAAAATAAAAATAAATTAAATGTAGCATACATGTGTTAACAGCAAAAAACAAATAAACTGTGCTACATCCTTACATGTATTCCAATGTTGACTTTCATTGAATTGAAAAAAGAAGGTCCTAGCTGCGAGCAATTTGGTGTTCCAGCTCTCATTGTAAACTGTAAATCTGCATCGGAGGTATTAGCCCATGTTAGGTGTTTTGTCAAAAGTCTCAAAAACTTGCCTTTAGAATTTCGAATAAATGTTCCCCTTGAAAACAGAATATTTTATTCTTTGCATTTTTTCTGCATGAGAAATGTCAGTGGTGTTAAAAAAAAATCTGTTTTACAATTACATCTACCGGTAAATAAAATAAAAGGAGCTGTGTGTTTACAGTTCAGCAGAACTGATTCAAGGGGTTGGTTCTTAAGTTACATGTAACAGTTATTTTGCCTACACTGAAGAAAATAACTCAACCGCCTTTGGCATTTACTTAATCATATTTAGTTACTTTAACACATTTGTTTTATGTCCTACTCTGCTAACATGTGTTGCTAACAATTGTGTTAAAGTAACTAAATATGATGAAGTAAATGCCAAAAATGTTGGCATTATTTTTTTCAGGGGTGCCCAACCTTTTTTAAACCAAGATCTACTTTTAAAGTTGATGGCATGCCAAGATCTACCAAACCAAACACAAGGGATGGGCAGTATTTGTTTTTTATTTGCACAGGTGGAGAATAAACAGTAAGTTCAACAAACGAGGAAATTATTAATTGTGTCAAAAAATAGGTTGCAAAAACAGAACTTAACAATCTCATAAGAACTTCACACCATATCTGTCTCTCACTCTCACTCACTCACTCACTCACTCACTCACTCACTCACTCACTCACTCACTCACTCACTCACTCACTCACTCACTCACTCACTCACTCACTCACTCACTCACTCACTCACTCACTCACTCACTCACTCACTCACTCACTCACTCATCAGACACACCAAAACTACAGAAGAGAGAAGTCAAGATCAAAGGCCGTGCAGTCAAAAAATCTAGATAAACCAATTGATACACATACACAAACACAGTCCAGTACAGATGAAAAAACCAACAAACATTAGAACTGTAAATTTACAGTCATATGTTTATATCACTGTTTATATATCTATATATATATATATCTATATATATATATAGATATATATATCTTTTTTTACTACTTTTCAAGGCTGCACTTTAAAAAAAGATGAAATTGTCCAGAGAGCTGTTCCAAACTAAATTTCCTTTTGTTTACACTCGTGTAAACAAAATGACAAATAAAATCTGTATAAGTCTAAGACCACTTCAAAATAGGAAGAAGGAGAAGGGAAGTCCACTACTTCAGAATGATAAACTTCACTGGGCATTGGTATTGGCAGAGAAACTGGCAGATTGATTTAAATTCAACAGGAAAACAGATAAAAATAGGAAAATACTAATTACAAACTATGTGGATGTGAAGATGTAACATACAGCAGAATGGGTTGTTGACTGTTTCAGAAACTCTTTAATTTCGGGCAAAAGTTCCAAAAACTTTTTGAAGAATCTGCCACGACTCAGCCACCTGACGTCGGTGTGCAGCAGCAGGTCAGTGTGGTCTGCACCTGCCTCCTCGAGCTGGGCACGGAATAAACGCCTCTGTAAACTCCTGGCCCGAACAGAGCAAGCAATCTTCATATTTAAAATATTGCCGCACAGCCGTTGTTGATGAATGATGCAGCGGTAGCTCCAAAAATCCTGGAAAGTTTCAGACAACTTGAACAGAGCAACGAATCCAGCAGTGCACCCAACCATAGATAGAGCCCAATCAGTTGTGATAGATGTCATTATCTCATTATCTCTTCAGATTCCTCTTCGCACTTTAGAGTCCCTGGTTACAACCTAGCAAACCATGCCCAGCAATCAGCATGCATAAAAAAAGGTTCCCTGCATACTTTTTATTTTTCATTTTATTATTATGAAAAAACACATTGGCCTCTCATGATCAATGATTTGATTAGTGTTT